CGACTTCGTGGGACAACACCAAGATCCTGGGAAAGTCTGGGCAGTGACAAGCACAAGAATTCCTGGAAGCATACTATTAATAAACATATTGAACTCTACCACATATACATTCCACTATGAAGGAAAACAGGAAGTGAGGCAATCCATCTCAATGGACCCCAGAGTTTAAAAACCAGGCGGGAAAACACACTGACGCTTCATCGGAGGCTGCACTGAGGATGTTACCAAGCATGGTAATGAAACGTCTGCAAGACAACAAACCAGCTCGGCGAGCCAACCAACCTCAACACCCCCAACCCGAGCTACAGATCTGTCATATATTCCCCACATTTTCTTTCTTGGTTTTGTATTGTCAATATTAGCCTCTCTCTTTAAATCAGCATAACTTCTTGTAGTTGGATCAGTGATAGAACTTTACAACAGAAGGCTATAGCTTAAGGTCCTATTTAATAGACTTAAAAGCATTGTCTAAGCAGGCACTTGCTGTGTAACGGTGAAGAATTGCTGTGCTGTTTTTGGATGTTAGGTCATGATTGCGGGCAAGAAATTGGACACATAACTGACTGCGTTTTGAATGCTATATCTGCCTTTAGTGTTTCAAAATGTTATCCACAGCTTTCACATACCATGTTTTCACAAAGAAAAGTGAAAGAATGAACCATTGACATGACGGTGCACCAATAACACAGCCTGTTCTGACCTGGAGGAGCCCGTAGTACTTGGCTGAACAGGGTTCAAAATTTGTGGTGGTCTGCTGTATGCTGCACAACTTCAAGAGGCATTCAGCCACCATGAGCTGACATTCTCAGTTACTAGATTCATAGCAGGCAGCGAGGGGCAGAGAATGAAGAGGAACGCACGCACTTTAGTCAGAATTTCTTGGCCGAAGTTGTTCTCTGGGGAGAGCACATCCAACTGCAATATCGCTAAATGCAAGTCTGATGCCTCTTTCATCAACAGTAACACACCATTGCTTTCCTCTGTCACTGACACAACTGCAAAAATTTCAATATAATGACAAACAAACATTTCAAAGGGAAGTTAGAAATCAAAGTGTGCCATACATAAACGTACACCAGTCATCCTTGGCACATTCTCACAGTCTGTCTTTGCTTGTCCAAATGCTCCTTGGCAGAGTTACCCCAGTATTTGCAGCAGGGTTACTTGCTAACTTTCAATGGGGCAGACCGCAGTTGGCTTTGGAGGATGTAACAAGGGTCATTGCTCACCTCTATCAACATATTCCTGTTGGCTGCCCCATCAAAGTTCTTATCTGAGACATCTGTGGTGGAACCCTTGTGAAACTTCACTCTTTGGTGAGCTGGCATCAGCATTATTCTTCTCCCCACTCCTGGTTCCAGGCCAGTATCACACCAGGTGCAGATTCTACCTTAGTAGATTTACTAAGACACATATTGCATCTGAACTCATTGCTTCATGTCTGGAATAAAGTTGCATTGTTGTGTTTTCATTATCATGGCACTTCTCCATGGTGTTCAACAGTGATGAAAATACTAGAATCTATTATGAAGGATATGGTAATTTGCCACAGGAAATAATGATCTGATTGGACAGAGTCAACATGGACTTATGAAGGAGTAATTATATTTAACAAAGTCAGTTAGAGTTTTTGAGAATGTTACTGTGAGAATAGATAATGGAGAACGAATGGATATGGTGTGCTTGGATTTTCAAAAGGCTAGTAAGAAGAAGGTTAATAAACAACATTAGAGCATGTAGCACAGGGCTAATATATTGCCATGGATTCAGGATTGGTGAAAACAAAGAAGAGTGAATAAACTGTAGGAAAAAGTGGGTTATTCTCAGCTTAACAGGCTGTGACTAGTGGGGTAGCAAAAGAATCAGGGCTTAGGACCTTATATGTAGAGATGGGGACTACTGTGTAAAAACGTTAAGGTCCCTAGAGCAGCCTCACAATTTCATGGAGCTGCTTCTCACAGGGTATAAATACCATACTGTTAGCAGAGTTAATTGGATAAATTGAAGATGGAAGATTGTTAGAACGTAGAAAAGTCTCTTAACCGTAAGCTCCGAACCTGGTGTACTTCAGTTTACGGAGCAAGTATATATAATGTTAATATACAATAAATAGCATTTTGAAGACCTAAATGTGGGCAGCACAGTGGCTCAGTGGTTAGCACTACTGCTTCACAGCGCCAGGGACCCGGGTTCGATTCCACCCTCGGGCGACTGTCTGTGTGGAGTTTACACGTTCTCCCCGTGTCTGCATGGGTTTCCTCTGGGTGCTCTGGTTTCCTCCCACAGTCCAAAGATGTGCGGGTTAGGGTGGATTGGCCATGCTAAATTGCATATAGTGTTCAGGGATGTGTAGCTTAGGTGGCTTATAGGGGAATGGGTCGGTGTGGACTTGTTGGGCCAAAGGCCCTGTTTCCGCACTTAGGGATTCTATAATTTGAAGCCAGTTGATAAACTTGCCTTCTGCTTGACCAATCTGTCTTGAACTCAATCTCCCAGGAGTGGCTGTAAAACCACATAAAAGAAAGACCGAGTAATATTTTCAAGCTTGCAGGTAACACAAAACTCGGAGGCAATGTACATTGTGAGGATGATTCGGATAGGCTTCGAAAGAATTTGGGCAGGCTGAGTGACTGGACCAGAGCATGGCAGATGGAATATAATGTGGATCTGTATGAAGTTATCCACTTTGTAGGAGGAACAGAAGTGTGGGACTATTTATTAAATGGTGAGAGATGGGGCAATGTAAGTATCCAAAAGGACCTGGGTGTCCTTGTTCATAAGTCACTGCAAGCTAACATGTGGATGCAGTAACTAAACAGCAAGGCAAATGTTTTACTGGCTTTTTTTGTGAGGTTCTGAGTACAGGAGTAAGAATGTCTTGCTTCAACTGTATAGAAGCTTTCTTCAATTGTACTTGAAGTACTGTGTGCACTTCTTGGTCCCCTTATGTAAGGGAGGGGGGATAGACTTACCAAGGATAGAAAGGGAAATGCAGGGTTAGAGGGATAGAGTAAGGGGGGTGTGGGACTGGGTGGGATGCTCTTTGTAGGGTCAGTGTGGACTCAATGGGCCAAATGGCCTGCTTCCACACTGTACAGATTCTATACAGAGCAGTAGAGATTAACTATTCTAATGGCAAGACTGTCCATCTTGAAGGGATTGAGGAGATGGAGTCAGTATTTTCTGGGATTTAGAAAAATGAGAGGTGATTTCACCGAAACTTACAAAAATCTTAGAGGGCTACAGAGTGGAGTAGGTGAAGAAAGGAGATTTCCCCTGATTGTGGGATCTAGATTGAAGAGTAATTTCTTCATTTATTAGGCAGTGAATCTTTGGAATTTTACAATCCAGAGAGCTGTGAAAGCTCAGTCAGTCAATATGTTCAAGACAGAGATCAATAGATTTCTCAATACTAATGATACAGGCAAAGAGGATAGCACAAGGAAACTGTGCTGAGACAGATGAGCAACCATGTTGGAGAGTGACACAGCAACTTGAGGGGCAGAATTCCATGAGCAGGTTGCATTCTTGGGAATAGGTAAGGAAAAAGACTAAGGTTTCATTGCAATGAGGACTTAAAATACCAGACAAATTTTGTAAAGAAAAAGCCTACAGTTTACAAATGAGGAGTATCGGATGACGGAGAAGGGAGGAGGAAGATGATGCAGGAGGACAGTCACCTGTCAATGTCACTTTTGATATTTTCAATTCTATCAAAGAACAAGGTCTTGGAAATGAATGTTAGAGATTGTTGGTCTTTGAATAACAGGGATATAGTGAATTGACTAGAGTCTGAGGCTTGTGGTCCTGCTGGTCAGATATTGCAATTCATGATGAATTCACTAAAAATGAGGACACTGAACTCCTTGTAGCACTGCTCCAGGTTTGACTCCCGGTTTGACCTCCATAACTGTCTGCTTACACAGTCCTTTGAACATGTGTCTGGCCCACAGATACACGTCTCTATCATTCTGCGTCTCTTCTATCAAGCCTCTAGTGCAGTGTTCCAATACCTTTGGGCTGTCTAGTGACTGTGTTTCCTCCTCTGTCACCTCTACCCTGTCAGCATCTCCTTCTTCAGTAATGATAGAAATGCATAAAATGGTCATCTCATTTCCTTACTTCACTGTGGCTACACTTTAAATACAAATCATTGGTTGCAAAATTCTCTTGGGTAATTTGCGGATGTGAACGGCAATCAGTAAATAGAAGTTCATTATTTTCTTTAAACTTGCTGAAGCAGATCTGGCTTGCTTTCAACTTTGAGGTTCTAACACACCTTTATGTCTCATTCTTCCGATGCTACAGTAAATGTTTCACTGCAATTGAGTCATTTCTGGAGATGTAGCTGCTATTGTTTACTCTTTCCCAAAGCTTTCGGGGTTTCATGTTCGATACATTTGGTCTTGCTTTGTCCAGGCTTGCTTTGACCCCTCCATTTGTTGCCATGGTTCCTTTTCATTCTATGTTTGAATTAAAACGAAGTCATGCTGCAGGGATGTACAAAATAATATCTATAACTTTTAGTCATTCCCTCAGTTCTACTGAAACCAGAAGGGCACATTGCAGATAGATTTTCAATTAGAAGCACATTTTCTCATGTCTCAAGATTGTGGGCTAGATTTACCAAATTTTAAAAATCAGCTGGTAGTTTGTGGGTGGAAAATGTTGAATCCCAATATTGAGGAATATCCTTGGTGGAAGCCAAAATTGAAATGTGGGGTTAGGCATCCAGAATAATGATGCCTAATCTAAAGGAAAATTACACAAAAAAAAAATTACCAGAGCCCCAGTTTGGTCTGACTGCTAACAGGTATTGGATGGAGTATACACAGCGCACACTTTGCTGACCAATGGCAAAAGGAGTTCCACGTACAGCAATCTGTGTTAACCGGCACCTTATGAACCAGCACTCTCAATAAACCAGCAAAATTACATACATCAAATACTAAAGTTTATTGTATTGTTTTTATTGTAGTGTTTTTTTAAAATTTACCTACCTGAATGTAAATATACATGTCAGTCAAATAGCCACACAAAATAGCAACAGTTGATTCAATTTCAAGTCAATTTCTCCTTAAATACCGTGATCTACCACAATATCCAAGTAGTCGGTTGAGGGTGTGAGCAAAAAGGCTCCCCGCCGGTAGACTTTATTTAAGGCAAAGTTGAAATACTGGAAGTGATTTGTGCTGTAAAAAAAGTATAATAGTGATATGTATAACCCCTGCATTATGCTTCTATTACTTAACACATGTTTTTACATTGATTACATGGACCTATTGATTATCCAGAATATTTAATCAACTGGCACACTGCTGCTTCCATGGGTGCAGGTTAATAAAAAAAGTTTGCTGTACATTGTTAAGACCCCAATTTGCATTTAATTGGGACTATCACCTGACAGCACTCTGTCTACCCAACAGAAAACAAGCAGATTGTAAAAAAGTAAATCAGCAGACTCACTTCATACAGAAGTAATGGAAAGAGAGTCAGGAAGGAGAAATTAGGTACGGTGAAACTGAAATTTGAATCCTGCAACAATTTGCAAAATCTACAGTGGAAAAAAATAAAATGAGCAGACTTATGTTCGTGCACGGGTGCCCTTGGAGAGGGAACACACAGTATCCACTAATACTCTCCATGCCCTTAGAGAGAGGTGGGCACTGCAGGAATACAGTGTTTCATCTCCCCATCCAACTCCATTGTGATTTAACCTTCTCCCCTCTCCCTTTCTGACCTTTGTTGGTTTGCATTTCCTTTAATGGGCTTTGCACACAAATTATTCATTTGCAAACACAGGCAATTTACTGCTGATGGTTAATGGATGAAAATGTGTTTTGGCGATAGGAAAAAGCAATGTTCAGTTGTACGTAAGAGCACTTCTGGACGAAAAAGAAAACGAGCAGAATAGAGCTTTTGTGGTGCAATGCTAGAGGTCCTACATCTGAGCCTGGAGGCCCAGGCTCAAGTCCCACCAGAGGTGTATTTTTGGCAAAGAATATCTAAACCAAGTAATTAAGGGGAAGGAAAAATGAGAGTTAAACCAAAAAAGATTGCAAGACCCAAAAACAAAAGTGCAAAACTGAGAGCAACTAATCCCCTACCATTTTGGGAAATATATTGCTCAATCTCTGTACAGCAATTGGATTTTAAAAGAGAGTTGCCAACAGGATTTAAGTATATTCCTGGTGGTTTTACCATGACTTGCCCTTGCTCCAGCCATTAGTAGCCAACACATTCATCCAGCACTGCCTCCTATATTAGCTGGAAAGCAAAAGGACTTAACATCCAATTGTAAGATGCTTGACTGTTATCCCCAATTGCCTTTTCCTCCTACTTTTATATTTAGTAAAGAGAAATATTCAAATCACATAATAAAAACTTAATCTTTTTTAATGTCCATATGATTTCTTTTCCCTCCAGTGTTGCACAGAGCAGCGTCCTGCAGATTGCAATTCCGGAGACTCCAAGCTGATTGTGTAGGGTTGGTAAACCTATTGTAAACTCATGCTGACACCACTAATTACAATTTACTGAATCCTGATTGATCTGAGTTCTGCATTGCTTGAACATGAGCTATAAGCTGTACCCATTTTAAAACTAATTTGAGCACACAAGTAAAATCGAATAAGATTATAACGAAAATCAGCACACAGTCCATTTACAATTCACTACCGCCAGTCCGGCAACCCCTGTTTCTCTCCCTCTTCCTGTCTTAATTCTTACTCATTGGACATACTTCTGAAATGTAATAATAATACAGGATGAAGAGTGACCTCTTTGTGCTGCTGGTGTGTACATCTTATCAGTTTGAATTATCAGCTTGGCTGCAAAACCAACCACCACCAGAAACTTGAGTTGGTGTTGTACCTTTACCAAAGAAGTATATTTTCAGGTGCATCAAAAGAAAGACATTAAGAGGGGTAACATATGGTTAAAAAAAAATGGGCTTCAAAGGATGAGAGGGGTATGGAACTAATGATGTTTCTAGAGCTAATTTTTTAAAAATTCATTCACAGGATGAAGGGGTCACTGGCTAGGCAGCATTTATTGCCCATCCCTAATTGTTAAGAGTCAACCACATCGCTTTCACATGTAGGCCAGACCAGGTAAGGATGGCAGTTTCCTTCCCTAAAGGAAATTAATGAACCAAATGGGTTTTTCCAACAATCGGCAATGGATTCACGGTCATCATTAGATTCTTAATTCCAGATCATTATTGAATTCAAATTCCACCATCTGCCGTGGCGGGATTCAAACCCAGATCCCCAAACATTATCTGGGTCTCTGGATGAACAGGCCAGTAATAATACCACTAGGCCATTGCCTCCCCTATTCCCAGCATGGTCATTGATGGGACAATACAAGTTGTGAATGCACGAGGCTAACTTAGAATGAATGCATCTATTGTCAATTTCTCCAGGGGACAAAGTGGCAATGTCATTGCAGTAGTAAACCAGAACACTGGGCTAATGATCTGGGTACAAGAGGTAGAAATTAGGCTAAAACATTAGACTAATCGTGGCCATGCCATCATAGTTATCATGGCAGCCCAACAGGTTCACTAGTGTCCTTCAGGGAAAGATACAGGAGCAGAAATAGGCCATTCAGCCCATCAGGTTTACTTTGCCATTCAATGCAATCATGGCTGATCTGATATGTCTCATCTCCACTTTGCTGCCTTTTTCTGATAACCCTTGTTTCCCTTACTGATGAACAATCTCAGCCTTAATATACTTAATTACCCAGCCTCGACAGCCCTCTGTCATATAGAATTCCAGACTCGTTATCCTCTAAGAGAAGAAACTCCTCCTCAACTCTAGCCTAACAGGGAAACTCCTTACTCTGCCCTCTGGTCCTGGACTCTCCCACAAGGGAGAAACAACCTGACAGTATTTATCCTGTCAAGCCACTTAAGAATCTTATATGTTTCAATGAGATTGTTCGCTGTTCATTCTTTCCAACAAGGACAAGCCCGACTCATCTTAAAAAAAAAAATCCCCCAAATCCAGGATCAACCTAGTGAATCTTCTCTGGACTGTCTCCAGAAATCTCCATCTTCTCTCGTCTGGCCTACATCTGACTCCAGACACACTGCAATATAGTAAAGTCTTTAGTGCCCAGAAGGCAGTTAATACTAGCCCAGTCAGTGATCCTACATGTGTGAATAAATAATCCTCCTGTTTTAAGAAAAAAAAGTTGTGGCCCTTTTAAATTGACTTCGTCAGAAAAGGGGTTTGGAAAGTACACACGAGCTTTTCAAAAGTAAATCAAAACAATAGTCCAATCTGTCTCTCTCTCTCCCCTACCTGTAACAGTGCAGATAGCAAAGAGATAGATGAGGGTTTTGGCAGACATCAGACCTCTGTGTATTAAAATCAGACTGCAATGTGCCATCCCAATTCATCAATCTGGCTATATTTTTTTCTGAAGTCTGTTACTATTCTCCTCGCCGTTGACATCTCCTCCATTACAGCATATTGTTGAACCTCTCCAACATATTGTCTAATACCTGATTGGAAAGGAACAAATTGTCTCATTCTCTGCTACTTTACATGAGAACTGCACTTTCTGGAACATTCTGCTGAATGGAATGGACTTTCTTTGTCTGATTTCTCATTATCAGTGGGTGAACATCACACCGTAAATATTGTGTTCTTTTCTGTTATTTGTTAAATTCTTCTCAATTGTTCCCTTAAATCATAACCCACTGGTTACTTCCTTTTTCTCAGTAAAACTAGTTTCTCTTTACTTACTCTATCAGAATGCTTCACAACTTGATCACCTCTAGTTAAGTCTACCTGAACCTTACCTGCTCTAAAGGAGAGCAATCCCACCTTCTCCAGTCTCTCCGCATCACTAGCATTTTTTTTGCCTCGTATCATTGTAATAAATCCCTTCTGCAACCTCTCTAAGGCCATGACATTCTTCCGGAATTAGACACAATTCTCCAGCTGAGCCCTAACCAGTGATTTATAGAAGTTTATGACGTTCTTCCTTATCTACTGGATGCCTCTATGTATAATGTGCAGGAATGGCAGGATCCCGTCTGCTTCTCTAACTGCGTTATGAACATGTCCGGACACTTCAGAGATTTGTATCTTTGAATTCAGAGGAGTCTCTCTTTCCGAGACCCCTTTAACATCTTGGCAATTTTCCAGGTAGGCTTATTCTGCAGCAGATAATCAAAAGGAAAAGACAACCAAAGGAAGTAGCACCATATATCATGTCTTACCTTTTAGGTTGAAAGCAATGACGATACAGCTGTATGTTAAATTGGTCTGCATTTGCACTGGCTGTGTGATTCTTTACAGACTGTTATTCAAAGCAGCCTTTATTTGTGAAGCTCAAGTCTGGCAGTTAATGACAGGCCAGACAGATGGATCTATGACCTGTTGCCAGATTTTATGATAAGCAACAGGAGCAGCTCTATCAATTTAATTCATCACTGTGTGCCACAGCAACCACTTCAGAAGGGGGACCAGGCAACTTTGAAACTCAAATCTCTGAAGGAGCTCAGAATATTTGTGAGCCAATTATCAGAAACAGAACACAGATGGCACTGTAATGCCCAGAGGAAGAAGGGGCGAAAACATGACTTGTTATGAAGCTTCCCTGCTGGTAACCTTTGAAATCTTATCCAAAAAGGCAGAAGCGAAGCGTTGTAGAATCATGGAATAACAGAGAAGAGCAGGAGACCAATTGGACCATCATGCATATACTGGCTCTTTGATCGAGCTATCCAATTAGTCCTTCACTCCTGTCCTTCATCCAAAGGCCTGCAATTTTACTGTTTCCCTTCCAATATTTATCAAATTCTCTGTAGAATATTACTAATGAAACCACCTCGTAATCTTTTCAGGCAGTGCGTTCCACATCACAACAAAATGACTGAATGTAAAGAAAATCTCTTCTTGCCATCTCTTGCTCCCAGTGCAACCATTGAAGGCATTTCTCAGGACAGGTGACACCCTAATTTCCATGTTTAAATATACAGGAGTGTGGCAAGGGTTGTGGGTGGGGCAGAGTTAGTTCTTTGAGCCAAGATAGTGATGCTTATATAAGAGCATCAGCGTGGCTTCAGTTTGTGGATCTGCTGTGGTAGGCCTTGGACTACTTCTTTACCTTTCTCTATTGTGGTATCAGGGCATTGAAAGGTTCATTATTGTCAAATCTCAGATAACGAGGA